GTCTCTGATTCAGCTTATTCAGAGCCTATGTTCCTATCTCCTCAAGGATGAGGATGGGTAGCTGTTTGATAACCTGATGGTGCTGGAGTTGGGTCTGTTTGCTTCTTACACACATTAAATAACATCTTTATTCAACATCTGTAATTATCCCTATACCTGCTGCCTTCTACTCCCAAATTTTTCTGAAGTTCTAGGCAAGCGGCTTGCTTTCGTCACTATTGTTCAGTAGCTAAGTCATGCCTGACTCTTTGCAACCCAATGGACTGCAGCGCACCAGCCCTCCCTGTCCCTCACTATCTTCTGGAATTTGCTCAAGTTCATGTCCATTCAGTTGGTGATGCTATCCAACCATTTCATCCTCTGCCACACCCTTCTCCTTTTGCCTTCAGTCTTTCCCAGGATCAGGGTCTTTTGCAGTGAGTAGGCTCTTCACATCAGGTGGCCAGAGTATTAGAGCTTTAGCTTCAGCATCAGTCCTTCCAGTGACTATATAGGGTTGATTTCCTTAGGATTGACTAGTTTCCTCTCCTTGCAGTCCAAGGGACTCTCAAGAGTCTTCTCCAGCACAATTTGAAAGCATCAATTCTTCAGCGCTCAGCCTTCTTTATGGTCCTATTCTCACTTCTATATATGACTACTGGAAAGACCTTAGCTTTGACTGTACTTCCCTATGTAAATTTGACCTTCCTCTGTTTGGCCAGAAACATACAATTCCTGTATTCATTGTGTGTCTTCACTTTTTGTGGAGTGTATGTTCTTCAAAGATGTTTGTTTTTGTTTTTCCACTTTTGGGGGAAGGGGCAGAAAGGTCTTTTACTCAACATCCTAACATCCATGATCTAAGGGTATCCTTCTTAAAGCAGATCATTCCTACTTGCTTAAGGTTAAAATCCTCTCAGTTACTGCCATTGAAATTACGTGGAAATCCACGCTGGTTATTCTGGACTTGGGATCCTGTGTGGCTTGATCTTAGCTTCTGCCTCTCTGCCTCTTTTCACACAGCACCTCTCTTTATTACATTCCAGCCACTGTCTTTTCTCTGCTTGAAATATACCAAGTCTTTCTCACTATGACCTTTAACTGGAAACTTTTACCTTTTGACTACGTTTATCCATTTTTCTCCCACCTCCCCTGCTTTTGGCAACCACCAGCCTGTTCTCTAGATATATAGGTTTGGTTTTTAAAAAAATATTTGGCTGTACCAGGTCTTAGTTGCGGTGTGCAGAATCTTCAGTCTTTGTTTTGGCACCTGGGATCCTTTAGCTGTGGCATGCAGACTCCTAGCTGTACCATGTGGGACCTAGTTCCCAGACCACAGCAAGGAATCTTTGCCACTGGACCACCTGGGAAATCCCTATGGTGAATCAGTTGCAGTGAATATGGTAGTACAGCTAACTCTATCTCTGAGATAGAATTTTCATTTTCTTCAGATAAATACCTAAAAGTGTAATTACTGGATCATATGGGAGTTCTGTTTTTCATTTTTTTCTCCATTATATTTTATTACGTGATATTGGATATAGTTCCCTGTGCTATACAGTAGGACCTTGTCGTTTATCTATTCTGTATATGATAGTTTGCACCTGCTAATTCCAAACTCCCCATCCATGCCTCCCTCATTCTTCTCCAACTTGGAAACCATAATTCTGATCTCTATGTGTCTGTTTTTGTTTGGTCAGTAAGTTCCTTTGTGTTATATTTTAGATTCCACATATAAGTGATATCATATGATACTTGTCTTTGTCTGATTTCATTTAGTATGATCTTCTTTAGGTCCATCCACATTCCAGCAAATGGCATTATTTCATGCCTTTTTTATGGCTGAGTAATTTCCATTATGTATATTTACCACATCTTCTTTACCCATTCATCTGTTGGTGGACACTTAGGTTGCTTTCATGTCTTGGCTACTGTAAATAGTGCTGCTCTATGAACATAGGGGTGCATGTATCTTTTTGAATTAGAGTTTTCTTTAAATAAATGCGCAAGAGTGCAATTGCTGATGGTAATTGTATTTTTAGTTTTCTGAGGATCCTCCCTACTGTTTTCCATAGTGGCTTCATCAATTTACATTCCCACCAGCAGAGTAGGAGGGTTCCTTTGTCTTTACACACTCCAGCATTTCAGAGACCCAGAACAGCCAACTCAGTATTGAAAGAGAGGAATGAAATCAGGGCCTGATACTACCCAGCTTCAAGATTTATTGTAAAGATATAGTACTTAAAACAGTGCGGTATTGGTGAAATAACAGTCAGTTACATAGATTAGTGGAACAGAATAGAGAGTTAATTTTGGTTAAAGACATAGGTTTGTGTTTAGGTTCATTTTTGTATATGTGGATGTCCAGTTGTACAGCAACACTTGAACAGACAGCTTCATTGCATTGCCTTTGCTGCTTTGTCAGAAATGAGCTGACTCTGACACTTAACAGCTGGTAGGTCTGTTTCTGAGCTCTCTCTTCTGTTCTAAGTCTGTGTGACTTGGATAGGTAGATCTCAGAAATCTTGGTTTTAACTTCACATCTGCTTTCCTGAAATGTAGCATTGCTTAATTCTCTAATCTTGAATTTAATCATTTCTAGGAATTAAGTGACATCACTTTTAGAATTTCTGCTACCAGTCTCTACTATATTCTAATTGTTATATAATAGTTATATTTGCTATTTATTTTAGTATTTGTAAATGTTAACTTTGTTATTATGTATTTTCTGTATTTCTGAGTAAAGTATTCTTTTCCTGTGTGTATTTTGAAAACACCTTATAAGTTGAGTTACATGTCAACTGTACCTGTTTGTATTCCAGTGTTTGAATCAGGGATTGTAATATGCATCCAGGGATTGTAAATGCATCCATGATTTAATATACTTCCCTTTTAATTAATATAATAAATACCACTTCACATAAAATGTGAGAATTTACAGTGATACAACTGCTTACTACCTCTCCCCTCATGTGTATTATTCTTGTCATCTATATTGTGCTTCTACATATGTTATAAATCTAATGATAGCTAGCAATTATCTTTATGTTTGCATTAAACAGTCAGTTATCTTTTTAAGACATTAAGAAATTTTATATTTTCCCACATTTACCATTTTGTTGTGTTACTTAATCTAGAAGTAATGTCTCTCTGGATTCTCACAGCATATATTTTGGACCATTTATGTCATATATGATATTATAATTAGTAGTGCCATGTATATGTCAAATTTCCTCTGCTAGTTTTATGTTATTTTCTGTTAAGGACTAGAGTTTATACTTTTAAAAATACTTCATTGTGTTTAGCACAATGCCTTACACAAAATAGGCAGCTATTTTTCTTTAAGTGTGTAAGAATGAAATTTTGTTCTTTTACCTGGGTATCTCTATAATCTAACAAGTTGTATTATTATGGTTCACCATTAGATGTCACTTTTACCAATAAATTCCTCATCATAATGTTACTGGATTTGGAAACTTGGCATACCTGTATTAGTGCACTTAAACTGAGAAGTTTCTGTATGTTTTAAAATTATAACTTTTTAGAAAAAGGTACATTTGTAAATCATATATAATGATATATATGATTTTAAAAATCTTCTAGTTTCATATTTCAGTCTGTGTCAACTAATTATCCTGAAGTTTTCTTTAAAACTTGAATGTTGGCGTTATTGTTTTGATTCTGAATTGATTTTGTAATTCTGAAAAGAACTTTCTTATTTCAGGAGCCTAACTGATCCTAGATTCACCAGAAGTGAGTCTGTGGTTAAACTTTGGCAACTGTTTGCTTTATTTGGGTTTTTTGGAGAAAGAGGGAGAACTGACTTCGTCGTGAAAAGAAGTGTAGAGGTGGAGAAAAAAGAAATTTGTGGGGCTCTGTTGACTAGTCATGGAATACAGTGAAGTGCTAAGAAGGAGTGTTCCTTACAGATGAAAGAGCAGGCCAGGGAGATTTCAGCCATCCCCAGCGCTTTGCGTGTTTATCTTGTGCATTTGGGCCTCAGCATCGTAACCTGTGTGCTTTAGGGCTCAGGTGTCTTGTTGCCTAACAGGTCTGTGCCCGTGTGCAGTGGAGAGTTCACACATGTGACCTCTTCATACAGTACCATCGCTCATCAGACATTTAGGCTGCAACTGTGTTTTTCCCCCTCGTCTTGCCAGGATGTAGCTGGTGGCCATTTGCCTCAGTCTGTTCAGAATATAGAAATCTGAATAAATTAACAATGTTGATTCCTTATAACTTACTGAATGGCCAGCACCTGAACCTTTCTAATAATGTGGGTCCTTTCGTGTCATCCACTGGTATACCAACTGCTAGCCTTTGACACCTCAGTCAGAAACAACTGTTCTGTATTTTCTGTTTGTGCTCTTGTTTTTCTTTAAAGGAATGTTGTTTTCATCTATCAGTATGTCTGTATTGAATAAAGATATTCACTCTTTGCGACCCCATGGACTGTAGCCCACCAGGCTCCTCTGTCCATGGAATTTTCCAGGCAAGAATACTGGGCTGGATTAGCATTTCCTTCTTCAGGTTATCTTCCCAACCCATTGATCAAACCTGAGTTTCCTGCATTACAGGCGGAGACTTAACCATCTGAGCCAGCAGGGAAGCCCCTTTCATGATGAAGTACCTAATAATTTGGACATTTAGTTTCCATTTTGCATTGATCTGTCAAATTACACACAGTGTAATATCAAAAAATGAAATTTTATGTAGTAATATTTTTGCTTTATAATAAATTTTATATGTGTATTTCTTTGTCATATTGCTATAAGATGACTGTTCCTTCTTGGGCAGACCTTTTTGACTATTGGTCTTTTAGTGTCATTCTTTGTGAAGTAATGAAATGAAAATTTTTATGGAGTAATTGGTGATGTGGATGGTAGAAAATAAAAAGTTGGCTGTACTATATAGTGAGGTGCTGAGTGTTAACTCACTTATATTGATGATAATTCATTTTGTAATCTGTGCTTTTCCCTTATGTTTCCATATATTGTTACAGCTAAAGGAGTAAACAGGTCATGGCACGCTTAACAAAAAGACGGCAGGCGGACACAAAAGCTATCCAGCACCTTTGGGCAGCCATTGAGATTATACGGAATCAGAAGCAAATTGCCAACATTGACCGTATTACAAAGTAAGTCATTTTATACAGACAGATCTCTCAAATTTTATGTGGAATTTTGGGAGAAAAGGTCCAAGAATCATTTGTTTATTTATTGTTAATCAACATATCTTACAAAGTACTAGTCACTTTTTGCCTTGTAGGATTGTAAAGTTGTTAGGGAAATACTGAAACATGCACAAGCACCTTGTGTTTAGAGGTTATATAGAATATCAATGTGTACTATTTCCAATAGTACACTAATACATTTTTAGTTATCAAAATTTTTTTAACTCTTGAAAGCCAATTTTTATTTAAGTCTTTTATCAAAAGGCATTTGGTTAATTACTTTCTTTCATGTAACTGTCTAAAAGTCTGCTGGTCATTGTTTACTTTAATGTTTGAATAATATATGCTACCATATAATGTAGTGTAGGTACAGTAAATAACTTCTTATTAGTTTGTAGTACACTAACCAGAATTTTTAACAATTTCATTCTATATTTTTAAGTTACAGACAGTATATCTTCAGCTGAAAGAAGGAAGTTCTTCTTTATTTTATTTTCCATTGCTATTTATCTTGATAGTCCAAGATTCAGAATAGCAAAAAATCTGACTCCTGTATGAATGCTCTGTTTACATGTTATGTACTTATTATAAGGGAATCTTCAAATAGAAATTGATTTTGTTTTGCTTTGTATTTTTAAAGGAATACAACTAAATCTTTTTAAAATGTTTGAATTTTTTAGAATAATTTAGATAGAATTTCTTTATACTTAGTCTCTGACACATCCTTTAAATGCTAACTATAAAAATGGAAAACAGATGATTTACAAAAGCTCATTTAAATAAGTGGTTATTTTTGTCCCTGTTAATAAGCATCAAAGTTAAGTACTATATGTTTATATTTTTGTCACTTAGTCATATTCTAGTGAAGAGGTTTATAAAGGTTACTTAAGAGGGAAAGGCCAGGAGAAAGAAAGATGGTGTTGTATGTTGCTTTAACTCTGTATCCTGTTTTTTGGATATTTTAAAGTTGCCTATGTACAACTCGCTCCTATAGGTGACTCGAAGGGGAAGAAATAGGTAACAGCTGTGTGGAAAATAAGGATAAAATAATAATATATAATAATTAAGTTACCTTTAATATTGGTGATATTGGAATAAAATATTTTTTAAAAACCTCTAAGTACAGAAATATAAAAGTATTTTCGTATGGTTGGGATTTAAAAAAAAACAATATAGTTTGTTTATATCAAAATTTACAGATGAATGGTGGAAATAAGATACTGTTCTTTGGATTTAATTTTTTAAATTAATTTAATCTTGACTGAACTATTTCAACTTACAGGCTGTTACTTCTTATTAATCCATGGCATTTTCTCTAAAGCTCTAGGGACATTCTCTAGGAACCTGTGGGAATCTCCAGGTGAGGTGTTCAGAGTTTGTCTGACAAGGTTGCTGATACGTGTGTCAGAGTAGTCTTTGGATGACCAGGTTGTGTGTACTTGTGTATGCATGTTAAATGGTGAGACTCGCAGAGGCTATTGACAGCATTGCACACCTCATCTCGGTGTGCACAGTGGACTGTCTATAAACATTCTCTCTTCTCCTTTCCTTATCAGTACAGCCTTAAGGGTGCCAAGGTTTATTTTTCTTCATGTCCAAAGGTTCGTCCATAGATCTTAAGATAGCTAAGAATAAATTCATTTATCTGTCAGTCATTGCTGTATCAGTCTTATCTAAAGATGAAAAAAAATGGAAAATCAGAGGATGTGTGTTTGAGAGGTTTCTGGTGTTCCTTCAACCTTGTCTGAGAGTATGCTGTGTCTCTTTTTAGTACGGGGTGCATTCATAGCATCTAGTACTTTCATAACACTAGTCACATGTAATTCTTTCCCTGCCAGACTGTCAGCACCAGAAAGGAGCTGTCTAGATAATTGCCAGTGGTGTGGCTTCTTAGCAGTGTTAATTTCCTTGCTTGTAACCCTTGCCAAAGTAAGGTAGGAAGAGGCATTGGACCATGACAGGAAGTCAGATCTTTTGCTTTAAAGCCTAATAATCTTACTCTGTTTTCTAAGTAGGTAAGTACTTCTCAAACTTTAATGTTAAATCAAGGTACTCAGTCACAACTAAGTCTGAGCTTAGAAGTGTCTTTCCATCTTGATCAAATATCTTAAGCTGCTGAAGGCTTCAGTGGAGTTGCTGTGAGAAATGTATGTGTAGCCATTAAGTCTCATCCTGTGCTTGACTGGCGAGGGACTCCCTCAGATACGAGTCGCACAGTTTCAGCCACACATTGAAGTTTCGGGCTTTGGGGTCATGACTCTTTACACTCTGAAGTCTGGCAGTCCTCAGCACTGTAGTTTATCTCTCACTGTATAATGTTTTACTTCTGCTTGTTTTTATTTGAAATGTCTTTTTAAAGACCTTTTAAACTTATGTTTCTCATTCATCTTTTTTAAAATAATAGCAATTTTATTTATTTTTTGGTTACATCACGTGGCATGTGGAGTGTGGGTTCTTAGTTCCCCAACCAAGGATGGAAACTGCCCCTGCTGCAGTGGAAGCCCAGAGTCTTACTGGGGCTGCCAGGGAAGTCCCTCTCATTCAAAAAAATTTTTTTTCTTTGCAATTTATTTATCTAAGGACTTGGTTCATTTACTCTGTGGTTTCTTATAGTCTGCCTTTGCGATTGCATCCCTGTGGTGTGCCTTATTCTGGTGCTCATTCCTGTGTATCTCATGGAGGCTACTAGAGATCTCTTCAAGAAAATTAGACATACCAAGGGAACATTTCATGCAAAGATGGGCACAATAAAGGACAGAAATGGTAAGAACCTAACAAAAGCAGAAGATACTGAAAAGAGGTGGCAAGAATACACAGAAGAACTATACCAAAAAGATTTTCATGACTCAGATAATCAAGATGTGGTGATCACTCATCTAGAGCCAGACATCCTGAAATGCAAAGTCAAGTGGGCCTTAGGAAGCATCACTACCAACAAAGGTAGTGGAGGTGATGAAATTCCAGTTGAGCTATTTCAAATCCTAAAAGATGATGCTGTGAAAGTGCTGGAGTTAATATGTCAGCAAATTTGGAAAACTCGGCAGTGGCCACAGGACTGGAAAAGGTCAGTTTTCATTCCAGTCCCAAAGAAAGGCGATGCCAAAGAATATTCAAACTACCGCACAATTGTACTCATCTCACATGCTAACAAAGTAATGCTCAAAATTCTCTGAGACAGTACGTGAACTGTGAAATTCCAGATGTAGAGGCTGGATTTATAAAAGCCAGAGGAACCAGAGATCAAATTGCCAGCATCCGTTGGATCATTGAAAAAGCAAGAGAGTTCCAGAAAAACATCTACTTCTGCTTTATTGACCACACCAAAGCATTTGACTGTGTGGATCACAACAAACTGGAAAATTCTTCAAGAGATGGGAATACCAGACCACCTGACCTGCCTCCTGAGAAATCTGTATGCAGGTCAAGAGACAACAGTTAGAACCTGATATGGAACAATGGACTAGTTCCAAATTGGGAAAGGAGTATGTCAAGGCTGTATATTGTCACCCTGCTTATTTAACTTATATGCAGAGTACATCATGTGAAATGCTGGGCTGGGTGATGCACAGGCTGGGTTCAAGAGTGCCGGGAGAAATATCAATAACCTCAAGTAGGGTGGCAGAAGACACCACCCTTATGGCAGAAAGTGAAGAAGAACTAAAGAGCCTCTTGATGCAAGTGAAAGAGGAGAGTGAAAAAGCTGGCTTAAAACTCAGCATTCAGAAAACGAAGATCATGGCATCTGGTCCCATCACTTCATGGCAAATAGATAAGGAAACAATGGAAACAGTGACAGACTTTATTTTGGGGGCTCCAAAATCACTGCAGATGGTGACTGCAGCCATGAAATGAAAAGACACTTGCTCCCTGGAAGAAAAGCTATGACCAACCTAGAGAGCATATTAAAAATCAGAGACATCACTTTGCCAACAAAGGTCCATCTAGTCAGAGCTGTGGTTTTCCTGGTAGTCATGTATGGACGTGAGAGTTGGACTATAAAGAAAGCTGAGCAGCAAAGAATTGATGCTTTTGAGCTGTGGTGTTGGAGAAGACCCAAGAGTCCCTTGGACTGCAAGGAGATCCAACCAGTCAATCCTAAAGGAAATCAACCCTGAATATTCACTGGAAGGACTGATCTGAAGCTGAAGCTTCAATCCTTTGGCCACCTGATGCGAAGAACTGATTCATTGGAAAAGACTCTGATGCTGGGAAAGATTGAAAGCAGGAGGAGGAGGAGACGACAGAGGATGAGATGGTTGGATGGCATCACTGACTGGATGGACATGAGTTTGAGCAAGCTCCGGGAGTTGGTGATGGACAGGGAAGCCTGGCACGCTGCAGTCCATGGGGTTGCAAAGAGTTGGACACGACTGAGTGACTGAACTGAGCTGAGTAGTGAATCCTACCAGTGTGAGACTTCTTCATAGGTGGTAATGTATTTCATCTGGCAAGGTTAGTACTAAGCCTGTTGTACAGAGGCTAGATCCAGTAATTCATTAAGGATTGCGAAATAGTGATAATCTACCAGATAGTTTATCTTTTCTTTTTCAACTGAAACACTTCCATAAGAACATAAACTTCCTATCACGTAGGGTGTGGTTACCATGTGGTATAGCTCACATCGAAAAGGTAGAACAACTGATTCTTTTAACTAGAGGTTTTCAAAATAGCATCCTCCAGTGGCGACCAAGTAGTTCTTTCTGGTGTATTTCAGCCCGTTTCTGTTATAATCCCTACTGATGCTTAACTTCCCTTCTTTGACCAGTTGGAGCCTCTTCATATTGTCTCGTGAAGTTCCTCTCTGCTTTCTGATGTGACAGGATTTTTTCGGGCTCATCTAGGATACACCTTGCCCCAAGCCTGGAACCACTGATTTCTCCAGGGGACGCTGGTTTCTTGCAGTTAGAAATTGTGTCTCAAGAGCATTTTCTGGCCCTCGGTGTGCTTGTTTCTACCAGGTTGGT